TGCCTGTGGAAGAGGGGTGGTGCTCTGCTGGAGAGGAGGGTTGGTGCAGCGGGCTCGAGGGGCACTGCCAGGATGGCTGGCAGGGAAGCTGAAAGCACTTTAGAAAATGCATTTTCCCTGTTTCAGTGATGCCGGACATGGAGGAGAGGGAAGTGCAGGTGGCGATGGCTGGAAAGTGGCCGCAAAGCACAAAATACTATATATAAAGATATCAATAAAACAGTTCTCACAGCTCTTACTGTTCACAATGCGATCAACAGCTGTGAGTCAGGTGGAATAACATCCTATAGGTAAACATACAGGATAAAGTCCACACACATGACCTTCATCATGTGCGCACATGCCTACTTTTTATGACTCAAACACGACTCATTTATTAGTTGTCACTTTCTAAATAGCAGAAGGGAAATCTATGCTATAGATAGCCACCATAGTAATGATAAACCTTAAGTAGCTTTCTGTGATGATACATAGTATGCAGACTGGGATTAGCCTTGCCATGACACATCACCTGCCTGCTCTAAGAATAGCCCGGTCAGCCTTCACAGCCTCGTCCGTGAAATCCTTGAGTAAAGCAATTATTACACTAACTGTGGCTGGCCTCCTGTTTTTACCTATTGTCTGATGTTTTAAGAGAGATTAAGGTCTAAATTGGCAACACAGACAGCTACACAGCATCATGTAGCGAGCTAGGAGAGTGTTTCCTTTCACTGCAAAATGCAGTTTCAGGCCTTAATGTTGGAGCAATACCCTGAGCACCACTGACAATCACTGACCGCTTCGAAGTCCATAATCTTTCTGGTTACATTTTTCATCCTCTGAACAAGTAATTCTTGGCTATGGTTCTAGAGGTAGAGCAGGACATATGCTAATCTGAAGGTTGGTGATTTGATCCCTTACTGCTCTAGTCTGGATGCCAAAGTCTACTTTTGATATTCCCAAAACATTAATCATTGTGTGATTGTGTGAATGTGATATGTTGTATGAAGCACTCTAAGTGCTCGATCAAATTGGAAAAGTGCTATATACGAACCAGTTCATTTACCATTTAACATAAGATAAGACAAGATAGCCTTTAATAGTCCCACAGTTAAGAAATTAACATTGTTACAGCAGCAGAGTATAAGTATGCATTTTTTCCCATGTTATGATATCATTGTTTATGACTGTTTAATAGTATCAAAAGACACAGAGAGGCTTTAATATGACTAGCAGGAGAAATGGAACAGTAGAAAGGCAGCATTACATACATATATAATTAGCTGTGACTGGGTGATGTAATGATTTTTAACACAGGCCGTGTGTTTCTTCAGTTTGGTATTGGATGTAACAGACAGGGCGTAGGAGGCAGCCTTTGAAGGAGTGCGCGCAGCCTTGATTTGGATTAGATCTGGTCTGATGCCGCAGAGTCTTAGTTTCTCTGGCAAAACTCGACGTGCTGTATTTCAGTGCAGACTGGCAAAGAATTGCCTCTCATGCTGGCGCACATGTCTGTAACAAGCTGTGCAAGTACTGGAGATCTGTTTTGTAGAGCTAACAGGTTTTTTGGCGATAGCCTGAGAAAATAACAGCAGTTCTCTTCAGGAAATATATATGATATATGTGGCAGAATACTGTTGATGAGGACATGAACCCTTTCCTTTAAATTTCCTCAAATCATTTGTATTTGCACCTCCGCTTTTGCATTTCTGAAGCAAAGACCTTTGAGGTCCTTTGACCTTTGACCTCCAGGTTCTACATAAAGTAAAAATTTCAGCCAATAGCTTTGTAAGAGACTTATTTGTTTTTTTAAGAGTGTTGCATTACAAACACGATCATTTTACAACTTAACAACACTAAAAAAAAAAGACAGTAGAGGATAAAGCTCCTGTGATAAATTATATTAGTTTTTAATTATTTCACTGAACTTTGTCTGTTTCCCTATGTCTTATAACACAACTTTAGCTTGTTCACATGCCAGACCAGTTAAAATCTAATATATAGGTATCATCACTCATGTACCCACCGTGATAGCGCTGCTTTTCATCCTCGGCCAGCATTACGGCAATCCTCAGGCCAATGCCGGAGGAACAGCCTGTGATCAGCACCACTTTCTGCCCATGTCTCTCCATGGCTCTGCTCAAACTGATACTATAGCAGACAAGCAGCTCAGCAGGATGAGTGATACTTTCAGATGAAAGCCATTATAAGAGGATAAACTCAGAAAGGGAGTCACATGGACAGGCCACACAGCACACGATGCATGAAGACTGGGATTATCCAACAGCTTTGCAGGTATAATATAACTGTTAAAACTGAAAAAAAAAGGACAGTAGCATGTGGAAGAACCATACACAACCACAGCAGCCTGTCACCTCATCATTGCAACTACCTTGGTCACACACTACTGTCCCATTCTTCAACCAGCATTTGTCACATCACCCAGTACGGTTGTGTTGGTCACTCTGGCACAAACAGGTTGTGATCCCACAAGTGTTCAGTGGGGTTGAGGTCGCTCCGTTCCATCCTCTCCAATCCCAAATTCTGGAGGTAGTCTCTGAAAAACCCCACTGTGTGTGGGCAGGTTTTTGTCATCTTAGAGGACAGAGTTGAGTCTCAGACTGTGGAGATATGGGATTGCCACTGGTTGCCATCTCATCTTGATATTTCTCTGCACTGAGATTGCTTCCAGTAAAGACGAGCCCTATTTTTCCAGTGAGGTAGATGCTGCCACACACTGTCACACTGCCTCCACCAAAGGCTGTTATTCTATCAGTGCAGCAATCAGCATAGTGTTCTCTGTGTCTTCTCCACACTTTGACCCCATGATCCAGCAGAATCTGGACTCATCACTGAACATAACGTTCCTCCACAGCTTCAGGTTCCAGTGCACATGTTGGTGACACCAGTGTAAACGGGCCTGACAGTGAAGGGCAGTTATGGCAGGCCTCCTGACAGCCCTATGAGACCAGAGATTAGCTGTGTGCAGTCTGTCCAGGATTGTCGGGTTTTCTCTTTGTCCTGGAAACCTTCACTGCAAATCTGTAAAAGACTGCCTTCAGTTCCTTAGTGCTGACAAGTTGAGGAATTGGTCTTCTTGGCACGCCCACTTTGTGGCGTGTGTCTTACATCCATTATATGAAGCCTGGCCTTCAGTTTGGAGATTCAAAAAATGCTGTAGCTTGGCTTTGCAGAACATCATTTTCAGGTTACCCTGTGGCATGAGCCATGTCCAGATCAGTCAAATGTGTCTGTGCCATGTGCCTGCGTGGAGCAGACACCAACTGTAGCAGGGTTCTGCTGCTGCCGGTCAGGAGCCTGAATGTCAGCACCTGGGGTACCAGAAGTTCAAACAAAAGTCAACAGCAGAACAAGCTTTTTGGTACTGGCAGAGAAGTTTGGCAAGTTCTTCATGGGCGCAACTCAGATACTCAACTTTGCTGCTCAACCCACAAATGCATTTTTCTAATAAATGTGACACCATTTTAGGGGAAATAAAAAGACTTTCCAATGGTGTAATTTTTGTTGCTAAGAAGCATTGTTACAACAAAGAAATAATCCACCAAACACAATTTTTTGTACTTTTTGTGTTAAGTTTAGATGTCAGCTTGTGTAGACCTCCACCAAGAAATTTGGCGACTCCCAGTGGTCAACATGATTACTTTCAATAGATAAACTTAAATTACTGAAATGTAATCAAAATATAAAGGGCAGTGTTGCTCTAGCAACATAAAAGATAAAAAATAATATAATCTACAATAAAAACAACTTTGATAAAAGTACCAATTGTCCATACTGAAGGCCTTATAAGTGAGGCAGTGCAAAATGTTATATACAGTAAACTGAAAAAAAGGCCATGTTGGATTTACTTGATTCAATAGTGGACATTGGTTGCACACAAATGTTTTGCTTTGGCAGAAACTTAAACAACTGAGTTAAATCAACACAACTTTTTCATATTCAATAAACATGTGCATTTTGTGTTCATAGAACGCGATTGAAACATGTTTAAATGAAGTAAGTTGAGCTCTTGGAATATTTTAATCCTTCACAATTTTGTCATTTTATTTCAACACTATTCAATAACTTTTACCCCCATACTTGGTCACTTAAATACTACATGTTGTCTTCATATTACATAATGTTCAACAAAGTCTAGAGTCTGGTTACCATAAAAATTGAATGGATCTACAACTTCCTCCTATCTTTATCCTGGTTGCAGGGGGTTGGGAAATAACCCTGAAGTGATAGGTTACAAGGCAGAGTGCACCCTGGACAGCTCACAAGTCTATCGCAAACAACTATTTTCACTTACATTGACAGGTAATTTAGAATCACTAATCAACCTAAGCTGACTCTAACAACTGCATGACTTTTAACTGTGGGAAGAAACCAGAATACTCAGAGAGAACCCCGTGCAAACTAGCCAGATTGTGGATTTGAACCCAGGACCTTCTTACTGTGAAGCACTAACCACCGTGCCACCAATCTAGACTTAACAAAAGTAGGAAAGCTATGATTTCAAGGCTTGATGCAGAATTTTTTTGTACGTTTTTGTCCTTGACAGGTTAAACGACAATAAATAGCAATAGCATACACGTGGTGTGTGTGCCTCTTATAACTCCAGTGATTTTCCTGCAGTTTGACATCTCGTGCGATTTTGTGAATTTCATGAGTTCAGCAACTAACCACTCTTACTAGATTGTATCAGGTCATCTCAACAAGAACAAATTAAGTTGTTGAATTTTACACAGATCCTTCATGATTTAATTACGTTCATAGAAACATGAAATTATTGTGTTCAAATTACAGGTCAGACTTTTTTAATGTAACAACCACCCAATTTACTTTTTTCAGTATACCAAAAAAAGTAGAGGCGGCTGCTGGACTTGACTGAGATGGATGCCTTCCTGAAACCACGATCCAAAGCGCGTGAGACTGAAATCCCGCGCAGTGTCGTAAGTTATTGACTTACTTCACTCGAACATGATATGAACAATTTAATCTAGCCTCTCTGGATATCATGTAGTTTCTACACTATATAGTTACACTTAGCTTTAAAGCATGAGGCACTTGTGTTAAATACACGCTAGATGCTTATGTAAATCCAAGAGCTGGCCAATCCCTTTTTTTCAGTGTAAAGAGAATTCTAGCAAATAGTGTAAATGGCATTAATAAATGTACACCACTAATCTAAGAAGAACAGCAAAAATGTTTGATACAAAAATTTGTAAATGTGTGTGGAAACTGTGGAAGCCTGACAGGTGTCTTTACCTGTCACAAAAAGGAGAGCAGTCGGAGTGTTTTTTAGAGAATGGTAGGAATGATTTCCTGATGCGTTTTTCATGGCAGAGAGGTTGAAGAAGGAGACGGAGCTCAACCCCCTCTGTAGTGAGGAGTCGTGGGGGTGAGATGGGTTATCCATTGTGACTACTCCAGATTCATTATGTGCATTAAGTCTGATCAATTTACTTTAGCTTTTGTTCTAAGACAAAGAAATAAGACCATTAGCACAATGGTGTGGATTCTTTTTTATTTTAGAGCACAAACATATACACACACGCACTTCAACACAAGACAGTAGCTTCCAGTCATACATTTAAGACAACCTACCTGAAGCAGGAGGTACAGGGACTTGGGAAATATGCCTGGAATCTATTCTCTTCTCCAGAAAATCAGCATGCACGTGTGCCAGAATCCAATTGAGTCTTGTTGCCAAAACAGTGCTGTTACTTGAATAGCTCCTAATAATTATGACTAATAATATCACAGGTGCCTTTAAATATGAGATCATTTCCCTCTAGTAGGCTATGTTACCGAAAACATGAGAGTCTGATCATAAGCAACGCGCCGAAAATTGTGCTTACAAAGGAAATAATTGCTCTTTCCTTCTGATACTTTGTAATTCTCTGAGATAACTTACAGTATGTTGCCAAAAGTGTTTCTGTAGAAATAAAATAGAATAAAACTGAATTTATTTTAAGCCCAATCACAAAAACTGTAATGGGATACCAGATTTGTGGAAAACCTGCAGCCAGATCACTCCATAAATAATAACAATAATAACAATAATAATAATAATACTAATAATAGTAGAAAATCACCCTTGTGCACTTTTTATGACAATATCCGTTGAAATCTGGTCAAAAATTTGCATGCACATACACAAAAAAAGGAAAGAAAAATACACATCTTTTAGACATAACAAATGCAAATGAAGCATGTGTGTGCGCATGTGCGGAGTTCACATTCTCTTAGACTTCTTCATTCATAAACTTCTTGTACTCCCAGTGAGCTGCTTTAACTTTTGATAAGTTTCTGCAGAAATCAGGGAGCCTATTTTTCTTTTATCGTGCACATGTGAGAAGGCTATGGTGTGCGTCTGAAGAGAGCGTGGGGTGGGCAAAGACAGACAGGCACTGGAATTTGGAATCTGCAGCGGCATATTTTTATTAGTTGGGCAGCACCGCTGTCCTGTCCTAGCATGCTGTGTATGTGTGCCTTCAGAGGGGGGGAGAGCAGTCAGTGCAAAGTGGCACACTCGTGTTTGTAAAAGACAGCAGTTTCCCCCCCCTGGTGGGTTATTATTAATATTAAAGTCTAATAACAAAAAAGTGTGCATGTGCTCGTGCGTGCCATCGCTGTATTGCAATCTGTGCTCGTGCACGCAGGGCACACAGGCGCGCCAAATCACAGAGACATCACATAATCCCTAAATCACTCATCCAGTATTGATGCTAAGAGTGACACGCGCAGTAATTATGGTTTGAGCACAGCCCCACGAGCCTAGAAGGAGTCTCCGGGGAGGCAGGGAGGGAGGGGTCGCCCTGCAGAGGAGGAGAGGGGAGGGAGGGGAGAGAAAGTGAGGAAAGTTCTCTGCGGGTGAAGTTAGAAACACCTTCCCCCAGATCAAGGGGCTCTTCATCACCGGTCTGCCGTTTTCATCCGTCCACCCAGAAGTCAAAGAGCAAAGAGAGCGGTGTGCGGGCTCCTGGGTATCACCTGTAATCAGCTGAGTCCGCTTTTATGCGTGCGCGCTCTTAATTACAGCTGCGCATTAAGACGCACGGGCGCTGCCAGACTGCTGAAGCTCTCTGGTGCAGAGTCAGAGCCGTGTCCAGAGGAGCGAAGAGCAGCCGCGACGGAAGTGTTTCATTAATAAGTTCATGATGGATCGATGGAGCCAAGTGCGCCTGACGTGGCTG